TTGAAACAATTAGAAAATATTACAATCATAAATCTACCCGAGGTTTTGCATTCTATCAAAAAAAAGCGCGGGCTGCTGTCCGCTGTCACTGTCCCACTATGTGTCAAACGTCATTATTGTTAGGCGACGAACACAAGGCTGGTAATAAGGCTGTGCACACACATTATACAAAGCATCTTACATATATATTAGAGGATTGCCTTTGATAACCTCACTCACACAATGAAACACAACGTTGCGTGTGAGTGATTTCACACCAGTTTTCTATAAGATCGTGGATCGTGGTACCACTTCTCTCGAGTCGGCCCTTTTGTGCCGAAACATATCTTTCTCTCTCTCTCTCCCCCTCTCTCCCTCTCCCCCTCCCCTCCCCCTCCTTATCTGCCCCCTCTGTCCCCCTCCCTCTCTCTCCCCCTCCCCCCTCTCTCTTATGAGAAATATGTGTTGATCGCGATACTATCATGTGATCCGATTGCTGGTTTGCCTCTTATTCCATAAAAAATAATATATTTTGTGTCTGGTAAGTAGATTTTCATTCTGCTTTATGCTCGCGTGAGAGTTAAAGGTTACCAGCGAAATGAAATCCGCTATCAGCTGCCGGCGTCCGTTTTTTTATTATTTTGCTAATTGCGACATGTTAACTTGTTAATACGTTATTAACATTTAAACAATATGGTTTCTGAACATTCAACATTGTGTTGTTACAGTTACGCGGATATTGCGAAGAGCATGAAACAAGAGGGTGCGGAAGCTGATACAGTGAGTGAGGCTGAAGTAAACCGAGGAGTGATGAAGGAAGCCCCGTCTGATGACGCCATGGTTTCCATGTCACCATCATACATGTCCGAAGCGAGCGATGCTTTCGGTACCTCCTCCTACCAACCCTTGTCTCAAGTCAGTGTAAGTGGACTGATAAGTACCTTTATGAGTGAGCTTTGCTGAGTATTTTTTTTAATACATATTTTTTATAAATAAATAAAAGTAGTAAAAAAACGAAAATACAAAAAATAAAATAAACATTCGGGCCGAGGTTTGAACCCGAATGTCCTGCGTGGAAGATACCGACTAGGCTATTTAAACATTATCAGATAAAAGCGAAAGTTTATTTCGTATTCTAATAATATTATAGGAAATTTTTATTCATTTGAAACACGAATAAGACAACAGTATCTGAAAATCAAACCTAACTAGATTGATTTATTAGTCCCGAATTGCCTATTACAAGGAAACTTCGTAATTAAACATCCTTATAGTAACAATACTAGGTTCTGGCTACACCATCGTAACGGGGCGGTGTAAACACTTCTAGTACATAGTATTTTTACATTCACATTGTTTTTCATGTAACAAATTAATTACGCAACTTCTAGTTACGTAAGCAAAACCTGCAAGTGTAAGATCAGTTATGTCCGTAACTTTACCATTAAAGTCATTGACTCCTTGGAGTTTTTTGTTCATAGTTTTGCTCATAAGTTGTAAAACTTTGAAAAAGATTGTACATTACTTATGCTTCAACAAATCGATAATTTAATTTCGTACGTACGGTAATAGTGTGGAGTAAAATAGCTACAACGTAATACATTTTATGTCCATTGAATAAATTAATTTTTAATATTTGGTTTTCTGAATAATTATGAATTTAAAAATGCATAACATAAAATAAAAATAAATCTTATATATTTGCAGCCGGCCTCCGTTAAGTCGGCATCGGCTGGCAGCACGACTGGAACTGTTGCTACCGCTGGTACAGCAGCGACTGCGGGCGCGTCGTGGACCCGGGCTTCTCACGTCCACTTCACTGGCTCGGACACAGGATCCTTGTCCGGCGAGTCCCGCTCTTCGCAAAGAAATTCCATGCGCGAGGTAATTCTCATTATTGTTGAAAGAAATTGTTTTAATATCATGTATTTACATGTTTTCATAATATTTACTTAATGCGTAGAACTATACATTCCTGCAGACGCATAAGAGCACGGAAGCAGCCCCGGCTCCACAGCATGGCATAGGTGCGCAGTACTTAGATCCCGCGCCGTACGTGAGCGCGGTGGGAGTGCCCGGGGTGCTGCCGCTGTCCATTCCACCGCTGCCAGTCATCGTGTCTCCCGACCAAGCGCAGATGCAGGTGAGTTTCGCGAAGATTGCCATACTATCATTAATATTTTACCTATAAGACTCTAACATTTCTTTTGCATTATATTTATCCAAAGGTTGTCTGGTAGAATCACTATAAGTGATAAGACGCCTTTGTGCCCTTTTTCTGTATGTACTATATTATTAATCGTGTACAATAAAGATTATTCTACTCTAATAATCTTCCAGTTGCAAGATTCAAGCACGCATGGTTTCAATATCTATGTGTATTGATTTTGCTTCGAGTCTTGTTTTAAGTAGTTAGGTTAGGCATAATGCACCTTATTGCATGATACAAGTTAGTGGCTGTGGCAGGAGCAGTTGCAACGAAAACACGAGGAGTTGCAGCAAATGATAGTCAGGCAACAGGAAGAGCTGCGGCAGGTAAAGGAACAATTGTTGCTGGCCAGGCTTGGGATTCTCCAGCCCCTTATAAACGTGAGTATGCCAACAATTTTATTTTTATACTTCATGCAGTTTCATAGTCGGTAATATAAACTTCATGTTATATCGAGGTTATGTGAGTTAGATAAGTTATTTGAGCATTATTTACAAAGTTCCAATTACAATATTCAATACAAGGCACTTAAATATTATTATACTTCATACGTTTATGAAGCTATTGTCCAAATACTCAATCAAACGCTACTCAATTTTTAGTCGCGTTTAAGTATACTTATGTCACTACGAATTCTTCGTAAAATGACAGAGATGGCACGATATTGAAGTAAAACGTAATATTGAGTAGCCTTTCAGTATTCCGGCGTATGTCACTTATCTTATAAATACATATTTGCAACATAGGTCTGATGATATTTCTTTCTCTAAATTGATTTATTACAATCATTAGTACAGAATATATGTATTGTCGGTCCTAAGTGTTATTTTACATGAAATGTAAGATTCCATTGTATCCAATGGAACACGCCAGCTCGAAAGTGCATTAGCATGTCATTAAACAAATGCATGAAAAGCATGCTCTTATGCAAAACACATTATAATTTTTAACGATAATAGTTTAGCGAAATCGGTCCAATCGTATAAGCGTGTTGCGATGACCAGAGAAAATCGGAATTCGTTTCTATGTATACAAAATTAAGTCTTATCAGAGGCCTTAGTACGAGTTTGATTTACGTTTAAAGTAATCGTAACGAGTACGCGTTGGGCACTGTGATTGGTTGCTTCATTGGTGCCGGCCAAAACAAAATCGTACTACGGCCTCAGATATATTGTACAAATGGCATAAGCGTCATTGGATCAAAATAGATTTTCTATGATTGACATAATATATGATTTTATCATAAGGTCTTCTTGTCTTTCAACTCCAAATAACTGGTAGTTACATAAATGTCTAGTTCATAACATTTTCACATCATAGATGATGGTAGGTAATTACTACATTTTTAACATTGCACTATTGTTTAATAATTAATAGTGTAATGTGCTTAGAAATGTCTGGTCATTGTCATATCGTAAACATTACTCAGAATGACACTTAATCTCTTGCTTAATAGAATAAAACGCGTTTTTGACTTACGGTTACGTTTCAATCAGTTTATTGAGGTACATGTGATATATTGACAAACCAGGTGCAAGGCCCATACGTGAACCCAGAAGACATGCAACAGAACCAGCGTTTACCGGCACAAATAGTTTACGAGGCAGGCACGCCGCGGGCGGCCATCACCGGCTACCCGCAGCAGCACCCGCCGCATGCCGGCGGACACCACCCGCACATGCCGCAGTGAGCCGCTCCGACCGAATTTACCACAGATCCTTGTTATTATTTTTAATTTAGTTCAAACGCGTACCATACGTACACTTGCCAATTTGTTTATTTGTAGGAAAAGCGCAGCTTCGGTCTATTAATTTATTATTCATTACGTGTGTTCCAAACAGACGCGGTGCAATATCTCGTCGCTTATACCAAATTATGAATTATTATTTACAGGTGTGTACAATCTATTATACAAGAGCCGGTTCGTTTTATGTTTACTTTTACTTTGTTATTGTAAAAAAACACAAGCTCTATGCTCAGGCGCATGGTACGTTTCAACGAAGCATGTTCATTGATAAATATGTATATATTTTACAGTTTCTTGTTTAATTGTTTCTTGTGTTAAAAGGCTGTGCAATATCTAACAAACTAAATATTTAACTTGTAATAGAAAATGTAGAAGATTGAAGTTAAGTAATTATTTTAAATACTTTAGTAGGCACTTAATTCAGTACATATTGTTTGAAACCTTTTTGTTATGCGGTAATTTTGTAGACGAATACTTACGTGTTGTAAAGATTGGCTGCCTTGAGGGCACATTTTATTATATCGTCTTATTTGGACTTCGCTATTTTATCCTTTCTCGTTGTTAAGACAAATCTGCACCTATACTGCAAGCTCACTTGCATCTTCCAAGTCCAAAAGAAGTCCCGAGTCTTCTATTCTTTGTATCATGTTTAAGGGTGTAATTCCTTGTAGGTCCATAATGTACAGTTTTCTGATGATTTTATAAATATGAATACTGTTGTATTGTAGTTTTTATCAGAACCAAGAAACCAAAGTGTTACTATGTTTTAGTATCCACACAATATTTGTTTCGATATCTGCAACGTGCCATTTGCCGTGATTTGTTTCAGACGTTTCACAGAAAGAACATGTTTTGTAAAATATAATTTTACACATATTTTGATCTCGTTACTGAATTTAGTGGCTAGGTAATTATTTACGTTACGTTGTTTCTGAGATAGTCGCGTTCACGACCTATGAAACATCAATTAATGGTTTATTTCTTTTATTGACAAATCTTTTTTGAACGTTTTTTGTAAATATTATATACTTTGTTAGACAAATTTTATTAATTGGCTTAGTCGATTATTCGCATTATATAGTTTTGTTACATTTTATAGAAAAATATTTTATTTTACGCACTTGCGTTTTAGAATTGTTGTTGTTATTTTTCTTAGTTCATTATGTTTGAACTTCATAATATATTCTGTAACCTATACATAATATTGAGACTGCATTGAAATCATTGCGTCTCTTTTTACTAAAAACAATTTATAAAATTATTATAGTTAAATTATTTTGTTCGACGGACTATTTAGCAAGTGTATTAATTTTCCAAATTATGAATCACAAGATGTGATGTCGATTCTAAATTAATCGAGTGGCCAGTTAGGCGGTCGTGGGATTCGTACAAAGTTGAGGAAACTATCGAGCTCCTCATGCCGAACGCGGTGCGATGATGAGAAGCGGGCACTAGCCGAGCACGGGCGGGCCCGCGTCTCATGCTGGGGCTAAATATTTATATATCAGGGAGGAAAGTAGTTATTGTGACTCGTTCAAACTTGTTGCTATTTGAGTGACAACGTCGGTTGTGCAAATGACTATATATTATACTATAAGAATAAAAAACGAGCATGCAGCGTGCACACATGCGCTTCTTTTTTACTCTTATTGCTCGGATGCAATTTTACTAACTTTTCTATAATAATCGTTTATTCTTAGACCGTGCACTGTAGTTCGGTATGCGGAACTCTTTTTATGTCATGCAGATACATTAAATGACTATAATGTATGTACAGATACTTTAGTATTAGTTAGTAATTGTAAGTATATGTCAGTAGAGTAACTTTGGGTGTATGTTTCTTAATACAAATAATTACAAAAGCGGCGAAAGACAAGAATTTGATAAAATCAAGTTAAGTAAAATGTGGGATTGGTGAAATGAAATAACAATTGCAATTTCAATTTAATAATGTTTGAATCTTCGTTAAAAATTATTACTATCACGTTTCGATTCACTAAAAACTTCCCATACTTGTAGCTAGTTTTTGTAATTGCTTGTACTACCGTAATTATTAAATATTGATATGGCAGTCTTAGTTCCCGTGATTGTACCATTGATGTACGTCTTGTACGTACAGACATTACGTTCTTGTTTAAGTTTCCATTAAATTTTATATATTTTATATTGGTTAATATTTTAGTTAGGTACGGAATGTTGGTAAGTTAGCATACAATTATGTTTGTTGGCCCTAACGCCATTGGAAAATGTTTAGTCAGACAAATTCATTATTTCTACCATTTATTTATATAGTATATACACTTGAATCTTGTTTAATCATTGTTTATAATGGGAATTTATAGAAAATTGGCTTTAGTCAGTTATGTAATGTTTTATTTGTTAATTATTTTATTTTGACTGAAATTATAAAATATATGTATTGTGTCATCTTTCAAAGTTTATTTATAGAAGCATTTTGCTTATGTTCCGGTTTTTATAAATGTTTAAATATTTAAGAAATATTTTGAAAGAAGTAATTTACCCATCGCAACAAAATTATAATAAAATTTATAGACATGTGTTAAGAATAGCATAAATATAGAATGCAGGAAGAAAACCTAGGTATATGTTAAAATTAAAAATCAAAATTGTATGAAATATTTAAAGGGATTGTTGAAGTGTATGTTGGGGAAGAGAAGGCAAGAAGCAAGATATATTTTATTTCGTTCCGCGTTCTTAGTTAATAGCACATTATGTCAAAGTTATTGTTGTTTTGTTGTATCAGTTAGTGTAACAGATGGTAATCTTGTCGCTGCAGGCCCCGGGTGAATGACCCCGGCCCAAAGCTATGTGATACTGTTTTCTATAACATGTATATGGATATGTGTCATACATCGTGCGGTCTAATCATCTTAATCACGTAATTATTGAATAAGTGGATGTAGTGAAAAGATAACAAGTTGTTCTTAAGTATAACAAGTAAACCTTAACTTCGTACATATCCATGTATGCACTTATATTTGAATTTATGTTTCACTTAATCAGTGTACACATTGTTCATTTACGAGAGTGATTCTTCGGGAAATATTTCATTCAATTTTTGTCGTATTGTGTTCACTATTCTATTGAGTTATAAGCTGCAATTTAACTTCTAGACTGCAAAACCAGTTCACAACATTCGGTGTGAAATTATAGAAGCCGTAACCATTGTTTTAATATCAATTTGATATACAGATAGCAGTTTTCGGAAGGATCGCTCGTAACATTAATGTTTGATATTATTTCTCATTAGTATGTAAAATATACGTTAGTGTATATATTTTTGTACCAACAAATATAATCGTCCGCATGTATAGGACAAGTCATATCGTATACATGCGAATGATTGAGGGAAATGCGGTGTTGTGATGCTAAAACTTCTAATAGTAACAGACTTATAAAACAGGTAAAAACTAAGACTACAGGTAAATATCTGTGTAAAGATATTTTCGAACATAAAGTTTATAGAGAAATAAATCAGTGGAAACAAGCCCGCAGCTCCGCTAGTAACAGCTCGTGTAAACAAAACGCAACACAACACTGCTCAGTCTCTGTCGTCAGCTCTTTTTTGCCTAAGCTTTTTAACAATGACAGAACTGTACTACATTTAGAAAGTTACAGGGTATCGCCAAAAAGAAAAGCATCGTGAAGTGATATTGTGAGTTAGATGATTAGCACATTTGTGGAGAGATGACTTTTTGAAAATATTCAAAATAAATAAACGAAATATGTAATAAAAACATTCTTTTTTTTATTTCACAATTTACAGTGTATAAATAACAAAAACTTACATGGCTAGAATATTAGGTAAACATAAATATTGGTTTAGCTCCCTTGTAGCTCTTAATAATAATTTTTACACAAACTTATACGAGTAAATAAGACGGAATTTGGCCCTAATGTGTTCAGGCTACGCGCAACGCAGAATACTGCCCCAGACTCTCGTTCTCAAAACACTTAAAAATACTTCTTTCTACTCATTCACGGAGCTTCCTGGCCTCTGCACATTCGCCAGTAGTGGCCTTTTAACTTCAGTAAATCTGCATGATTACCACGCTCTACAATTTTACCTGGAAAAAATTCGATCATATAAAAGTCATAGTGTCTATTCTTACACTTCTCTATATCAGGGCCAAAACTGCGTTTTAAGGAGACGACCATGACTTGCAAAATAAGAAGGACAGCCAGTAAGCTTGCGACGGCTCACGCACTTGCTCCCGTTACGCTGTTTCCAGCCTCCATCAGCCTCTTTGACTTGTCATTAGAGAATGCCATTCATCTGGCATTAAGTACGCCCATCGACGTTATTAATTATCAACGTCAATGAGTCGTCAGTGACGTTAATTCATAGTGTTAAATAATACATAAAAGTGGGTAAATATAGGTACCTTTATCCAGGACACAGATTAGATCTGCGTCTTTTATGGTAGTGAGACGGTGAGCGATTGTTACACACGTTCGACCCTCGGCTGCTTTTTCTAGTGCTTCTGATACTACCTGCGATTACCAAATTGTTAAGAATTAGTACCTAATCTGCTGAATGCAGTTGTTGATACAGCCAGACATAAAAAGGATTTTATTTACCCGTTCACTATTCGCGTCTAGCGCAGAAGTAGCTTCATCAAGTAACAAGAGTCGCGGCGAACGGATGAGCGCGCGTGCAATGCACACTCGCTGCTTCTGACCGCCAGACAGCTGCGCTCCACCAGACCCTAGGTTTGTGTCATAACCCTGTGGAAAATGGGACACTGTAAAGTTGCTCTTCAATAAATTGTGTGTTTTAGTAGAGTTCTCGAGAACATCTCTCACTGTGTTCTGTATGTTTGCAATTGACAAGGACAATTTTAAACGTGACTGATAAAATTCTTTGGCATACCTTGGGCAAGGAAGTGATGAAGGTGTGTATATTTGCAGCTTTCGCGGCTTCGATGATTTCATGCATGGTGACCTTCCTGGTATTGTCTCCATAAGCGATATTCTCAGCGAGCGTGCGGTCAAAGAGTACGGGTTCTTGCTGCACTACGCCCAGCTGACGACGTAGCCGGGGCAGCGTGAGCGATGAGCGGTTATCAAGTCCATCTAATTCCTGTGCAGATATAACGAATGTTTATCTAGACAACTGTAGATCCAGATACCTAAATGTACTATGCGTATAAAGAAATAAAGTAGGTATTGTAAGTACTTAGAGTACTTACCTGGGTAAGTTACGCTAGGTATCATAGCATGGTAGTTACCTACTTATCGAAATATTTAAATTTTGTAAGAAACAAACAAACAGAAGTAAATTAAATTATCCATTTAATAGGAGCAATCTATACTATCGAAGTATAAAGATAGATAATATAATTAAAAAAGAAATGAAAAAGTTATGAAAGTACAAAATATATTTGAGATTAACATTCTTTCTTAGCCTTTTTAATTCTAATTTCTCTCTCTCGTAATCTGCGTTCTCTTTCAAACTCTTTCATTCTAATCACGTAGTCTTCTTGTTCACATTGAAGGTAAGCATGTTTTTCGTGATGACAACGGAACACAAACGGATAAACTTTGTATCGACACACTTGGTATTGCAGTAAACGATCGCTACAATAGTCATGATATTTGAGTGGAATTTTGGCAGAAATTAACTGATCTCTGCTGGCGCCTCCTCCCCTTGTTTGTCTTTTGGTTTTGAACCCTACGTTGTTCGGGAACGTAGGTGTCTGATCCATCTTTAAATCCAAATGCATGGTAGCCGCAGTACCCAATAATTGACCCATTTTCAAAAAAAAATATTCCACGTTTATCTGTTATAGAGTACCCTTTCAAATATAGGTAATGTATTATAGAAATGTCTTGATAAATATTAGAATCTAAATTAAAACAATTCAGCGATGTTAGACCGGCGTCGGTTCATCTGTGACAAAATATTGTGTCAAAAGAATGCCATTATAATTTATAACTGTCATTCTTTCCAAAAAGTACTGTTTGACTAGTTGTTTGCTGGTTAGTACCTATTTACCACAATACGTTTTTCTATAATAAATCCCTTGTCATACAATAATATGTTAGGTACCATTGGTACCATGTAGGTACCTACGAAATTGAAAATAGTTTTAAGTAACTTACTATTCTTCCGGAGTCAGGGTCGTAGAATCTTTGTAGCAGTTGTAATACAGTCGACTTGCCACAGCCAGAGGGACCCACTAGCGCCACGGTTTTGCCAGCATCCACATGTAAATCGATTCCTCTCAGTACCTTATGATGTTTTCTTGTAGGGTAGCTAAATTCGACTTCTTTTATACTGAAGTTACCGGTAGCACTCTACAAAAAGAAATGGACAGAGCAAGTAAGACTTCCGAGTTCGATCTCCGGCTTAGGCAGAAGGTATAGTTGATAGCTAGGTATCAGTTACACTCACCCAATCTTTTTTGTCAGTGACACCATCTTCTGTTCTAACCAGAGGCTGTCTTTGGATCAATCCTATGATCCTGGCTGCGGAAACCTTAGCGGCGTGGAAACTTGGTGCATATACTAGTGTTTGGCCAAGCATGTACGCCCCGAACATTACACTTTCTGTTACTCTGTACAAGATTTAAAATAATTTAAGGGTCTATTGGACACTGATTAAGGTCCTTTTAATCTAACCCATGGATAAATTGACGTACTAATTTCGAAATAGTCTACTCTTTGTATCTTCAGCGAGTCTCACTGTAATCGGAGAATCCTACTACTGTCTTGCACATGCTAAACTGGCGCCCATTTCAGCGCAGGTTTAGCTTAGACTTGCAAGCAAACATTATAATAATGTACTATATACTAATTTCTATTATTATATGCCTTATCTCTTAATTTGTGTGAAAATTGAATGCTTTCTTTTAATGAAAGAAATACTTACAAGAGCACTATTTTGTATTCCAATTCCCCTTTGGAAACGAGAGAAGCGCCGTACATGATTGCACAGCAGAACGCGATCAAAGGTGCGTAAATACCAATACCCAAGACCACACCCCGCCATCTTGACTTCTGTGCCACCGCTCTGCAAGCTACCGTCAACGACTCCTGGAACTTGTCCAGAAACACTGGTTCTATGCCTAAAGGAAAAACATTTTTTTTACAGGTAAGAACATTTTCAAATCTATGGTCAGAGCTTAAGCAATGGGTAATGTGATGCGACTCAAAGAAGACATTGTGTTTACAATGGGTTGAATGAGTGACGATGTGATAATTTTATTTACAAAAATAAGCAGGGAAGAATACAGGCAATATATTAATTAATCAGTTTTAAAAAACACTCCTTCGAAACCCCTGACTCGTACACAAAATTGTAAATAGAGGGTTGTACTTCGGTATGATTGTTACATTACCTGGTACTTGTTCTTGATGCCTTTGGTAAACACCGAATATTAATTGCAATTTTATTAAAATTCCAAAGATATCAATAGAGCAATCAAATTACGCTGTAGAATTATACTTATCTAAACTTTTCGCTTACCTAAACTTTGCACGGTTTTGATGCTAACTATCGCTTCAGTGGCTACTCCAGTCGCAGACTCCATGGCATCTCTCTCGTCTTCCTGAGATTTTCTTGACATCATTCCTTCTAGCCAGATACTGCCTATCATCTGCCATACGAAACAACATTAACTTTAGGATAATATTTACGTAGATGTAATTACTACGACCAAATAAGCGAAGTATGTACTAACAATAGGTAAAAATGCAGTGGCAACAAGAGTCAGTTTCCAATCGAAACTCAATCCCATCAAGACTCCAAGAACTACAGAGCTGACACCCTGCAGGATGAGTCCGATTCTCAAACCAGTAGCTCCCTGCACCTCCGCAGCGTCTCCACTAAGCCTCGCACAAAGTGCTCCAACTGTATTTGCTTCTCTATCATAGTAACCTATTTCCTGAAATGAATTGAAATCTTTCTTCATAAATTGGATACTTCTAGATTGACTTTGAGTGCTAAGCAGTGTATTCCAGGTTTATTAAAGGAAGTATTATTGAAATCTTTGAAAAATATCGGTGCGCCGACTACGTACTATCATTTCAATATACAGGAGTTTATGTATTCTCTTACCTGACTAAGTAAGGCGTTGAAATACAACTCTCGAAGTCTGGTAGTCATTTTCAAACCAGCAGTGGTGTAAGTAGAGCTCTGAAGACACATAGACACTCCAGCAATGGCTGCTACCACAACAAAAAGGCCAGCATACATGTCGCCCAACGATATAAGTTCATCGCGATCCGTCAGTATAAAAATCTGTAAAACAGGAAATCATTTGTACCTACCTATTGATAACTAAACGAGAAAAGGTGTTAATCTATAATTGCTGAATCTATAAGTTACTTACGCCGCTAGTGAAACCGAAAAGTAACGCAAATGCTGGGAAGCATGCTCCTTGTAGGAATGCTGCGATAGATCCAATCGTAATGTAAACCCACTCTGGAGCATTTAGTTTTAAAATATCCCACCCGCTCAATGGTA